CAATTTATACAGCTTCCAACGTTCTCAATGCGACCATGAATGAGATCTCGTTCCGAGTAGACTCGTTAGTCTGTAGCTTTCTTACCCGTGTTTTTTATAAACAACCGCCGAAACAATGATCCGCGCTGCTGTCTTGGTACGCATTTAAAAGCAAAACGTGATGGAATGACTATGATAAAGCAGACGTGGTACACGGAGAGCAAGGTTTTAACTACGAATGTAAGGTGTGTTTACTGAACCTAGATACAGTGTGCGGCTTCACTCTTAATTTCCGTCATTCCTAACCCTTCCAATTTCACATTATACTCAACAAATATAAAGCTCCGCATTACGTTCAGTTTCATCGATTTACTTCGTTGAAACATTCTCTTTCCTTATACTTGGCAAGTTTTTCCAGAGGCCATATATAATGAAGTTCTTCCACGATTTGAGAAAGGGGACGAATACTTTTTGGTGCGGCGTGGTGATGTAGCCCAGCCACGATAATTTGGCTTGTGTCTAGGAATGCCGAGGCATTACTCTATAGGGATCGAGTGGTGAGTATACTATACGACGAATATAAAATATAATCGTAATTAATAATTGACACGATATTTAACATTCCAGTTATCCCATCTGTAACTACCTCTTTCGCCGGAAACACAGTCAAATATTCTAACAACGGTAGCTGTCTCCCAGGTGTCATCGCCCCTGATTGAAGATACCGAAACTTTGCCATACAATTCGTCCATACGTTGGGTATATCATCGATTGCAAGTTAGGAAAAACGTATTTGGATTTCATGAAGACCATTTTGCGTAAATTACGTGGGCTGATAAAAAAATATGTACTACGCGGTTGTCAAGGTGACTGGCCAATGTACTGAAATAATAAGTTTTTCATAAACCTAAAATCATTTCAAGATTATTAACATCTCATATTGTCATACTGTCAGCAGAAGAATGAATCTACAAAGACTCGATTTCAATTGTCTTTCCGCATGCGTTCTTGATCTGCCGAACCGCGTTTAAGCACTTGAATCAACAGGATAAAGA